ACTTATATTGGAAGTGCCCCCATGCTGCAATACACTTCTTTTAAATAAGCCTACCACTTCTTGTACATATACCTATGTGAACTTTTGATGGGTTAGTAACTTGTATTGATACAAACTTTTTTTCCAATTTCACAGCTGTAAGATGATGTGACTTGGAGATATGGAAGTGCGAATTTTACGGCATAACTACCTTCCGTCTCTATACAGGCAGACGACAGAAAAACTCCCGCTCACCCGACTTCGGCGGAAATCGACCTTACGATGAAAAAAGTTCTCCAAAATGAAGTTCCAGTTTCTCCGGTGGCCAAAGAGTTGTTTGATCAATGTATGTCTCATCTGCTCCAATACCTGAAAACCAATCAGTACAATTTAGACTGTTCAGAGGCTCCTGTTTATGCCGGGGATGTGACGCCATGGACTCCTTACAAAAAAGAGTGCCCTTGTTACCTGATACAAATGAAAGTAGGAAAACTGCGTGGGACGTACGTCGAACCGGGCTATGTGGTTTTTCCACTGTCGGTCAAAAAGGACAAAAAAGTGATCAAAGTGTATAAACTGGACTTAAGATCTGATGATAAACTACATTTAAGTCCGAAGAAAATGTACAAAGCAGTTTTTCTCGTTTTTGAAGCTGCTATAGTTAAACTGAAAAAGTCATTAGCAAAGAGCAAAAGTACGCTGACAACTGTTAGCAATCACTCGACAGAAACTACGAAGCCAACGAAAACCGACAAACCAGCCATTGTACCAAATATTTATCTTAAGACAAGAGACAAGGACCTTTGTCTTGTGATGTCACTTCCGGGAGGAAATGAGGTAGAGTTAATTCCCACCATCACAGTGTCTCCAGACGGTCCCTTTATTGTTGCCAAGCCGTTTGAGCACGATGAAAACCCGGCTTCAGATATGCTGTGGCGCACAAACTTTTCTCCGAACGAAGAGCATATATTGAACGCTGTCACAAATGGGGATCGCGAACAACGAATCAATGCCGCCAAAATATTAACATTTATGTGCCAAAAAGAATGGAAACTTAATCACGTGACGGCATACCAGGTAAAAAATATACTTATGCATGAAATAGACTTCCAAATTGACCATTCTCCAAGATGGCAGCGATTTACTCCAGAAGAATGTGTGCACTTAATTTTGTTGAAAATGCTCGAGTTTTCCAGGGATCGATTTTTGCCTCACTTTTTCGAGGAAGACCTTAACCTTTGGGGACATCTCACAGACAGACAGTTCCGGTTTATGTGTAATGAACTTGAACAACTCACGCGAGACGACGATGAGATGTTAAAAGTCATAGTCGAATCAGAGTAGACAAAATAGATTACTAGATTTATAACAAGTAGAGCTTTTTTAAAAAGCTTCCCGTCTTTAGCAACAATCTTAAACTGTAAACTGACCTACACCTATCAGGCCGTATAATTCTTTGATTTTTATTTGTATTTCTTCATTAGCTTTTTACTGCATCAGCCATACCACGGTTGTCGCCCGGTCATCTCCTAAAACTGGCCCTAAAGCGTTCGAAACCTCGGCTATTTCATTCCTTCAAAAAAGGGAAAAGAATAATAACAAATTGTAAAGCCTTAAGCAATAAAAAAATCAAATTTTATCCATAATGAAATTAAAGAGACCTTTCTTTTTATTGCTATAAAAAAATATCATGTTATTAAGAAATAATTACTGCTGATTTTGTTGTTCGTTTTGTCAATTTTTTTAAGATTTAAAATCTTGCAAAATTGTTAAGTCGTACGTAAATTAGATCATCAGAAAGTTATCTCCCTTGCCTTGAACAGCATTTCAACCAATGAATTAATTGAAAATTTTCTCATCATGCAATTTCTACCAATCACAAAAGAGAGGAAATGCATAGTCCGAAGACTAAAAAACTTCAACTATACAATACGTCTTCAAAGGAAGACGGTAATAACAATAACAAGAAGAACAACAAGGTGACCTGTAAATAAATGAATACTCTCATAAACTAACACTCACATTTTTAATTATTTTAGAATATTTTATCTGTTCTCTTTAATTAGATGATAAATAGAGAGGGTATTTAATATATTCAGAGCAACGGTGGTAAATTAATTCTTACCGACTAGACAGGTATAAAGTTGTCTTTATTATTAAATAAAAGACTATAAATGGAGAGGAGATACACTCCTCCTTCCTCCTGACTGTCTTAGGGTGGAGTGAATTATTAAGGGTGTTTGGCGCCAAGCATGCGTAATTGGTTCCAAACTAGTAAAACCACTCACACACCTCTCACACTAAAATATCAACCAATCATACATCTTCAAGCCGCACCCATTCTGACACGAACACCTTTGACCTTTCACACTCCCAAACCAACCAATAGACATTCAACCTCTTGAATATCAATGAACGACTTCATGAATGACTGAACACATAGAAAATTCCAGAGGACTGTACTGTTCTGTATAGGTTGTCAACGATAAAATCCTTATAGATGATGGCAACTGAAATGATTATATTAGGTCACAAATCAATAATTCAAAAATTATATAGTATTTATTATAATATTAATTTATTCACTATAAGATATATATAGCAAACCACCATTTGCCACTTGTTAAAAACCGTTGTATATTTACATTTGCCTGTATGTCCACAGGATATAACAATGCAAATAAAATTGAATTCTCCTTCATTATCAACCGGAAGTTTTATATTTGTTGATAGGTGTTGTTTAAAATGGAAAGCATCTTCGGCACCAACTAAGACTTTTCTAAGTTATTGACTTTTAAACAGACATATCATGTTATTTAGATTTTCTTCAATCAAAACTTGAACAGACTGAATCATTAACTCGGCGCTATGTTTACTTTGTCAGAGAGAGATCTAAAAATATAACTAAAACAACTAAAGACAGCTAAAAAGACACGTAGTGTCAAAAAAACCTCATATTGTCTTTCTTAGATACACCAAATAATTTCCCATGTAATAACAGTACCATATAAATCTTTTTTTAAGTTAAAAAACTTCCTCGACCATCAAAATCATTTTTTAATCTCAGGATTAACACATATACAGTGTATACTTAAAGTTGGAAACACATTTTTCGTAATAATCATAGGAGTTTGAGCACCTGCAGATAAAGGTGTGGATTTTGATAAAAGGGACAGCTGAAGTCTCTATAAAAGCAGAGATACCTTAAATAAAAAAGAACCAACACTTCTCATTCCTATCTACAGTACAATGTTACTTCTAGCTTTTACACTGTGTCTTAACAGTTACTACTGCCCCGATCAATTTGAAAGAGGCCTTCCATAACGCGGGGATCTCAGCCAGATACAATGAGACAATAGCCCACGCTATTCACTCTATGACAGGTGGAGGGCCTGCGGATGTTTAACCCGATGGCGAATTCAGAACAAAGTTACTAGGAATGAAGATTATCAGATAACGATCAGAATGTCCTATCACGCTCCACATTTCCACATCTCCAAACTTCGCCACGTCGACGATGAACATGGTGGACAAAATACTGTCCACTGTGGGGAACTCAAAAGACGGACTGGGACCACACTGTCTTCTGTTGGAAATATCGCAAAAATCAGTTTTCCACATGTGGGATCTAATGGCAAAAGGTAGAAAAACATAATGTTATTTTACACGAAGTTTTTTTTTTAAATCATTATACGATAAGATTCAAGCACAGTTTGTTTTAACTAAAATTGAAGTCTAAAAATTCATATGGGGGTCTTTTGTCAATAATTTACCTCGTTTAAGAAATTGTTCATTCTGAAGCTCTGTGTATCGAATAAACTGCATATATAAACGTCTATGCAGGTGGTCATTGTACAGTGTATATTACGAAAGAAATAAGGAAAGTTTACAATTGAAAAGTTGGCGTCAGACGTCACGTAATACATCTTTCATAAAGTTTTTTTTTACCAGGTTACCGTCTTTTTCTCAAGATAAATACTATATAGTATCCAAATATCAGAATGAATATGTGAAAATGACATAGATATTGCCAGTTATAATACTAGTATATAATATTAATCTCGGAGTACTTTTGCTTTAAATCAGAATATTTTTGTTATCAAAAAGTTTATAGGTTACCAATAATTTAAGTTTTATTTTTATTGGTCAAATTTTGTGATTTCTGATCATTAAAATGTTACCAGTGGTTATTCTGAGTTTTAAGTATCCATATTTGATAAAAACCACTTTTGGAATATTTTGTTGTGCAATACTCCTGAAGCTTCTCCTTCACTGTTGTTAATATTTTTCTGAAGAGTAAAGAAAGAGGCTTGATATTTTGACTTTTGGAAAGCATTTTACGAATCTTTTAAAGTATTTTTGAGAAATTCAGTTCGTTGGGTAGAGTTTAGGGTAGGAAAGCGTTGTATTTTTTCTCATAACAATTTTACACTTTCTATTTTGTACCACGTAAATTTTGTGAAAAATTCTCATATTTAAAGATTGTTATATTAGTCTTAACACTTCCCACCTAGTGTGTTTAGATGAAACATGTGGAGAGAATGAACGGTATTCAAGACCAGAAGTCCATAAAACAATAAAAATAGGAGTAAGTTCTATGGTCGAAGTAATGACCTTGTCAGCAAATACAATTTATCATCTATTCAAATGCTGACTGACATTTAACATACTTATTGTTAGTCCATTAATTATACACAGAATTGATGACAGAATTTTTCCGTTATTTCCCGAACAAAATATAAGGATACACGACGGGTGTGACCGGTTTGGCAGGGGATGCTCACTCCTCCGTGGCACCTGTTCCTATCATCGATGTTTTGAAGGTCCGTGTTTGCTCTGCTCCTATTTTGCATTGTTTTATGGACCAGAGGTGATATTGAATACTGTTCGTTACCTCCACATGTTTCTTTCTTCATAAGATTTAACCACCATTTATCTTACTATTGTGTGATCGCTTACAGATTTACGAGACATCATGGCAAGATGTTCTGGCCAACCCACCTGAGCCAAAAAAATGTATTTGTCTGAAGGACACCCGAATGCTAACGGCATCAAAGCGGCCGTGGAGTTACAATAAAACTTACGCATAAAACACTGTTAACCCCTCGTATTTGAATAAATCCGATTTTTAAATTGACAGACGCCCAGGCCTGGTCAGTGTGGAAAGAACGTCTGCTGCACTACTACACACCGACGGCTCTCCAGTGTAATGCCGCTGTCTACCTGTACTGTGTTACACACAACTAAAACACAACACAAACACATGATAATTTATGTCTATAAGTATACATAAAGTCTACAATACAAACGATACAAGTGTTTTTCTTTCAAACTTAAGAAAACTGTTTGAAACATTTGTTTCCATTTCCCATTTTCTCTCCAGCGTTCGAAAATTACTTTTTAACGTGTTTTCCTCTAAGGCACAAAGACAGTCTGGGAAACTGAGCTCGAGTAAATAACGTTTGTGTGTCTGTCCTTCTGCCCAGGATATAACGTGCTGGACGACTTGTGGATTACCCACACGGTCCAGACTGTCAGAGTCGAACCAATACACAACAATACCCAATGAGGAGATCGAACACAGTGGAAATATTTCATATCCTTAATTTCTATATATAAAAATCCACTCCGGTCTTCCATCACAATAGTTTCCAACACGTGGAGATTATAAGTTCTAAAACATCATTTTTATCTAAAATCTTCGGTGTATCATTTGTTGATGATATATCCTACAAATTTTACCATCAAATTAGAGTGGTTTTTAACGACATTCTTTGGATTTACAATAAGATAGTAACATTCCTATCGCTATAGCCTTTAAGTTGTTGTGGATAAGATTAGAGCATTTCAAGTCAATCACAAGACCTTGTCCGTTAGTTTAAAAAGACTCTAAAGTACTTACTAAAAGTCCACTAAATAGGCCGGTTTAAGTCCCTAAATCAACAAACTGAATGTTAGGTTGTAAGTTCATTAGATCTAAGTTTAATTTACTTCCACACATGTGTACTGATTAAGTTCGCGCGCGCGCGCATAAACTGCGTATCCATGACTTGAAAATGAAAATTTATCCTTAAAATAGTGTGCTTTTTGAATAAGTGTACATATTGGAAAAGAAAGTTGCATATACAATTATTACAAACAGAGATATATATATATCGGATTCCAGTAAATGTTCAACCAAGCCTTTCTACTTTTCACTAAGACATTAAAAAAGTAAATCCCCTCCCTCTAAAAATGGAGAAAAAAATGAAAGCATTTGCAGAAGAGACTTTTGGTCGTAGATTAGCTTGCCATCTGTTCCGTAGCTACAGAACTGTAGCTCTCTGCTTGAGAAAATTCGAACA